ACAGCAGTAGAAACCCTAAGACAGTTGTATTCTGTACATCATTAGACAGTTTACTGTCGTTGGAATTTTCTTTGGGCTTCCAACTAGCTCCCAAATAAAGATAGAGACTTATTATTGATTATTGATGCTTGGTCTTAGCTTAGGCTTGTCCCACTAGCTTTTTAAACTTAATTTAACCTGTTTCTGTTCATCTACGTTTTACCTTGGGGCTTTTCCCTTTCATTCTGTATGTTCTACTTTCATGCTTCTTCATCTGTCTGTCTGGCCCCGGGCATCTCCCTGGCATTTCTTTTTCTTTATTCCTCCAGCCTAATTTCCTCCTACTTACTTACTCTCCCTGCCCAGAAGTCCTGCCTATATTGACCTCCCTTGCTATTGGCCATTCAGCTTTTTTAGACCAATCAAGTGCCTTAGGCAGGCAAGGTAAAACAGCAGCATATCTTTACGTAATTAAACAAATGCAACACGTCTTTACATAGTTGAACAAATGCAACATGTCTTTTCATAGTTAAACAAATATTCTGTAACATATCCCCCCTTTTGTCTAAATACAAAGAAAGGTTTTAGCTTTTACCTAGTAAAACTATGTACAATAAGAAAAGTTATTATGTAAGAAATACATTTACAATATTCAGTCCATTTGCATTTGGCAAATTCAGAGAAAATACTCCATTATCTGTCTTATCTTGGTGAGTCCAAAGTTTTGTACCTAATTTACTTTCTATCCTAACTTGTATTACCAACCCAAAATTATCATTTTAGACCTCAAAACATTTTCCTAGATAAACAATTTAAGCTTTTATGTTTCTCAGTCTTAGTAAGTTTCTTTTCTGAATTTGGTAACAAGGAAAACTATAATTGTCTTGTCTTTAACTCCATCAGAGGACCAAGAAGCATATAATATTACCTGAGTAAATAAGAAGTGCAGAGCAAACAACTTCCCAAACTAGAAGTGACAACAACATCTGGCTGCTTAGACAGCCACCCAAGTTTCCTCTGCAACATTGGGGCATCCATCTTCAGCCTATAGGCCTAGAATGTCTGACAGACTTTTCTTTCAAAGCAGGAATTTAAAGGTCTATTCCACCTTGGTGTGGCAAAGTTTGGTTGTCTTTTTCCTTTGTGCCCTAATTATCCAGTTTCTGCAGTTTCAGAAGTGTCAGCAGTTGAGGCAGGGGCAGTTTCTTGCCTAAATGGTTAGCTTTGCCACAGTGAAAGCAAACTCCATATGGAGGTTCTTCGATGCCCACTATCTGTTTATGAAGTAGATTGGTGCTGCCAAGAGCAGATGTGTCTCACCGTTATGAAAAGCCTTAGGTTATTAAACATCTTAAGTGTCATATTCTGTAGGTCTCTGAAGCATTTAAAGATCACCTATCTGATATATATGTTTAACCTTGAAAACATACCTAACATAACTAAAAGTTTGTTACAAACTACTAACTACTAACCTTCATTTCCTAATTATCCTGAACAGTTTATGATAATAGTTTCAAGGACTAGAACTTTACCTTCCATTTTTAAATGAGTTGCTTAGGTACAATATTTTAAAAAAGAGTAGAAACATAGTATAACAAAAATAACCTTAATTTTGTATCAGTATACAAAAATCCATACCAATGTAAAATATTTGAGATGAATAGTTGTCCTTTTATCCTACATTCCTATATCCCCACTTAATGATAATAAACATCCATTATCCACTGAATGACCAAAAACCACCCACCCCACCTCTTGAGAATGTGGGAGTTGTGTTCTCTAGACTGCTTCCTATTGTCTAGGGGTGACGGCATCCCCAGGGGATCCTGAGAAAATTGAGAGGGTCAAGTCCTAAGAAAACTAGCTATAAAACTTATCTAGTTGCTGTGTAATGGGAAAGTGCATGGCTTATCTGAAGTCCTGGCTAGAATCGTCTGTGAGGCTGGACCTTCTCAGCTGACAGTCTTGAAGTTGTTCTGAACTCATAACTCTTAGAAACCTGTAACAGAGGCACTTTGAAAGGCTGGATCACCTGGGCCACGCATTTTCATTGGACTCTGGTCCTTTTTTTTTTTTTCTGAAAACATACAAACTTTCAAAGATAGTGTACATATCTACATTAACACAAGAATGGACTGTGTTAGCCAGCCAAAGATGATGTCTTATTTTATCTTTGAGCAGGTAAAAGGCATCTGTCAACTTTATAAGTTTGTTTGAACTGTATAAAACAGACCTGTATCCATACCATATGAAAGGATGGCATGTAATAAGTCACGAAGATTCTATAACCAAGAAGACTTACCATTGCCTCATCCAGACTCAGAGCTGTTCCCATATCAAGGGATCACACCTTTAATCCCAGCACTCAGGAGGCAGAGGCAGGCAGATCTCTGAGTTCGAGGCCAGCCTGGGCTTCAAAGCGAGATCCAGGAAAGGCACAAAGCTACACAGAGAACCCTGTCTCGAAACCCCCCACCCCAAAAAAGAGTTTACTTATTTTTAAACTATCTTTTCCTATGACTGTCTTTACCCATTTTCTTTCTTAAGTACCTGTACACACTAACTTGTTTAAAGGTTTTTTCCAGTCTGGACCTGTTTTACTGTGCACCTGTAGTGTTCTCTGACTCCAGCCTTAAACTTCTAAGCAGCAGCTAGGCAGGCCCTCCACTGTGTGGCTCTGGCAGTTGGCTCCTACTTAGCTTGCTGTTTCTACTTAGTGTGCCAGCTGCTCAAGTGCTCTGCTGCACAGCAGTGCCTCTTAAAAGAGCCTTATCTGTTTTTGTTTGTTTGTTTGTTTCAGCTTTCTCAGGCACTGTGTGGAAATTTGGGCCCCACATTGGGCACCAGTTTACACTTGGTTTCAGTGTTTTCTATGTTTACCTTGACTAATTGCATGTTTACTTTTGAAAAAGTTATCTGATGTCTGTGCTTTATCCTTATTTGTTTTTTAAGCTGTTTTATTAGATGCTAAATGCATAGCATTTATGTAACCCTAAATGTAAAATCATCATTATCCCTTACAGTCCTGCTTCAAGTCTCTTTGTCTGGTATTAACATTTCCATTTCTTTTTTATCCATTCTTTTCAACCTATGTATCTCAGTAGAAGTTGTTTTTATTTTTGTAGATGGCATAGATTATGCTCTTTTATTTCTAATTTGTTAATCTTTGCCTTTATATTAATCTTTATTCCATATATATTATGTGTATTCTGCAGTTATTTAGATGATTGATTTAGATCTATTTTTTCCATCTCATCTTTGTTTTTATTTGTGTGTCTTATTAGATGTGTGTGTGTGTGTGTGTGTGTGTGTGTGTGTGTGTGTGTGTGTGTGTGTGTTGTGTATAGGAGCTTGTGAAAGTCAGAACAGGTGTGATAATCTATAGAACTGGAGTTATAGACAGTTGTGAGCCATCATGTCGGTTCTGAGTACTGAACTAGTGTCCTTTGCCAGAGCAGTTAGTGCTCTTAACTGCTAAGCTGTCTCTTCAGCACTGCTATCCTATTAGTTTTTGCTGTTTATTGAAGTGATTACTCTATAATTTATAGTATACATTTTTAATCTACTATAACCTGTTTTCAAGATTGCATAAAATATTCTTTGCTTATACTACAGTTTTCTATGTAGACCTTGTATAAAAACACATTTGGTTTTTTTTTTCATTATTGAACTCTGTATGGTGTGACTCATTTGTGTCATTTGCTTGCTGTAATTTTGTTTTATAGCAACACTTGATAGATACTTGTATTATTTATAATCTGAAACTCTATAAATGGTACTAAAGTCAATATAAGTATGTGTAGAAATTTTTCATAACATTTACCTAGAGTTAGAATTTCTAGACCTTTTTATGCATACTTTTTAACTTACTAGACACTGTTAATTTTTTTCCACAATAGTTTTACCAATTTACATTTCTTACCAATAGTCTTACATTATTCCTTTTATCTAGTTTTTTTTTTTTTTTTTTTTTTTTAACCAATAATAAGTTGCTAGAGTTTTCCTGCCTGGCCCACAGTCAGGACAAATCTCTCTCACCTGCCAGTCCCACAGCTGCTCAGACCCGACCAAGTAAACACAGAGACTTATATTGGTTACAAACTGTATGGCCGTGACAGGCTTCTTGCTAACTGTTCTTACAGCTTAAATTAATCCATTTCCATTAATCTATACCTTGCCACATGGCTCGTGGCTTACCAGCATCTTCACATGCTGTTTCTCATCGTGGTGGCTGGCAGTGTCTCTCTGACTCAGCCTTCCACTTCCCAGCTTTATTCTCCTCCTTGTCCCGCCTATACTTCCTGCCTGGTCACGGGCCAATCAGTGATTTATTTACCAACCAATCAGAGCAACACATGTGCCATACAGAACATCCCACAGCACTAATACATATTGTTTGAGCTTTAGATTATTCCTTATAATGACATCTGGGATAAGATCCATTATGAACAAACAGTAACCACCACAACTTTCAATTCCTAGTATTACCGTCTGGTATTTTGTGGGTCAAAATTCATTTCAAAGCAAAAATAGGGTTTTTGTTGACAGCATTTACCTATTTAGTAAATTTTCTTGCTTTTCCTTCCGTTCTTTCTAATTATTTATTTTAGTATTATCATAAGAGTTTTTATTTTTTAAACATCTCTAGAAATTGAGTAAGTTGTATTACCTTTAATTATTGTTTTTAACTTCTGTGATCATGATAGGACATGAAAGAGTTCCTGTTTGCTGCTTTTTGTCTTTAAAGTGGGCATACCCCTGGAATCTACTAATCCTTTTATTTCCCTTTTTAAAGCTACCACATGGTTTTTGAAATCACAGATTTCATTTGAACTCTCTTAATATTATTTACTTCTTGATTACAGTGTAGACTTATCACTACTGGTGGCTTTTATTTTTTATTCAAATTGTCTTTCCCTTTGCTTTCAAATTGTTCCTAGGTTAAGAATAATGTTGCTTATACCAAAAATTTGGTCTAACTTTGGTACTTTTTCACTATAACTTTTTTTTTCTACTTGCAGTTACAAGAAGTTGATGTCTCTGGAATTAACTGACACTGATATAAGACCAGAATTCAATTTAAAATTAGATGAAAAAGGTATTACTTTTTTAAAATATGACTCCTACTGAAAAGTATTATTCATTTTTTTTAAACTTTGTCTCTGTAAAGTATCATTCTATTTATGGTTGCTATTCACAAGCATCAGGTGTATTCCACCAAATAGTGCTTGCTGTATACTAGAACCCATAGACAGTAAAATCTGCATGTGTCTGGCTCTCATATTACTTTGGCATTCTGTGGTGAGACATGCTAACTCTGGAACATACTTGTGAGTATAGTGTAGGATTTACCTCAGGAGAGTTTTCATCCAACCCCTCCCCTCTTGTTACATTCTCTCTTAAAAGAACAAGCATGTAAGCAATCCATAACAGAAGGAATGAACATTTTGGAGCTTGGATTCCAATAGTCTAAATTCACATGCCAGCTCTTTAGGAGTGTACTAGAGAATAGTCTGTTCAGCTCTTGGAGACCATATAGGTCCCTGATTCCATGGAAGAAGAGTTGAGGTCAGCTCCTCTTACTAGGGAGACTAGATGTCCCTAATAGTAGTCTGCTCTGTATTTGACGGTGTAAAGAAGGCCTTCTGAGACATTTCTCTTAAACTGTTTGTGTTTTCACAGTGTATATTAAGTATACTAAGCAAAGTTATCCATTAAAAATCTCTTAAAATACAAAACCATGAGCAATAAAATAGTAAAGCTATATTTTATGATAAACACACAGTTTACTATTCATCCAGAAACTAAATACTATCATAGACTGAATTCCCACTGCTTTCAAACGTACCTCAACCTGCTTTCCTCTTGAAGTGCACTTAACTGAAAAGTATCAATAGTTTAGTCTGGTTCCTCATTTCATTTCATTGTTGAAATAGCACCATAATTATTAAGTTTATTAGATAAGTGCTTCTTAAATCCTATCATCTCATTTCATGATTACAAATCAAACAAACAAACAAAAAACCCAAAACCAAAGAAACAAACCCTCAGGTGTCCATTCAATAGGTAAGTTTGGGATGGTACCCAAGATTCTGCATGTCTCATAAGTCTCTGATAGGTGCTAATACTTCTGGTCTATGGACTGTACTTTTGAGTAGCAACTCATTAGATAACTATATTGACTAGTATATATCTGAACTATTTAATATAATAGACAGTAGCTATATGTAGTTATATTTGCACTAACATCAAATAACCTTTAAGGCTCAACTGTTGATCACTCAGACAACAGTACTCAGTGAGTGGCAGATCAAGCATGTACTACTTTTAGCATGGGAAGTTCTACTGGACAGTACTGACTTCATGTAAAATATAAATAAAATTATTTATGTAAATTATATTTAAACCTAGAAAATTGCTATTACTGATGAATTCCAGGATTTTCAGATCTACTTTGTCATTATGCTGCCAAAGTTAATTTACTTAAATAAAATCATACATGGTTGAATGAAAGCCTTTGGGTTAGAGGAATCTTCAGTTTCTTCTACTTAGAAGCATGCTCCTTCTGTCTAGAGTTTTTGATAGCTAGACAGAAAGCAGCATGCATTTTGAGCACTGACATGATAAAATTCTTCTGTTCTTTATTCCTTGAAATAGTTCCTTACTTACAGGAACTTAGGGTGCAATGTAAGAGACCACATAGAAAAAGAACATTAATGTGGATTGTTTTGACTTCTCCAAATTCATTTTCAGATGAAATGCCTATCTTCAAACTTGATTATAATTATTTCTATCATCTGCTTCATATAATTATTATTTCTGGTACTGACATTGTCCGACAAATATTTGATGAGGCTATGCCACCCACTCTTTTGAAAAAAGAACTGCTTATACACAAGAATGTGCTGGAACCCTACTACAATCATCTTTGGACCAATCACCCTTTGGGTGGATCATGGCATCTGCTTTATCCCCCAAACAAGGAGCTACCACAGTCCAAACAGTTTGACCTATGCCTCTTATTAGCGCTCATTAAACATCTGAATGTATTCCCTGCACCCAGAAAAGGCTGGGATATGGAACCACCGTCTTCTGATCTCTCTAAGTCTGCAGACATTCTGAGGCTCTGCAAGTACAGAGATATCCTCCTCAGTGAGATTCTGATGAATGGTCTCACTGAGTTACAGTTCAATTCAATTTGGAAAAAAGTTTCTGATATTCTTCTGCGCCTTGGGATGAAACAAGAGGATATTGACAAAGTCAAGGAGAATCCCATTGAGAATATCTCCCTTGATTATCATCAGCTGTCCATTTATCTAGGCATACCAGTACCAGAAATCATCCAGAGGATGTTATCCTGCTATCAACAAGGTACTAAATAATTACTTCATTAGCCAGCAAATCATTTTTGAGAGTGTCTTTTCTGTGTTTAGGGATACTTTGTTTTCCTACTTAGTGTTTTAGAGGCTTTTATTCAGTATGAGAAGACAACTAGACAAGAACCCTTGATCTATAATTTCGAGGCCTTAAAAATTACATCTACTCAAATTGTGTGTGTGTGTGTGTATATATTTGAGGAAAGGGCTCTGACCACTTACTAAGTCCAGGGCATTTCACACAATTTTCACTTAAAGAGCTTATGGTTGAATACCTTTAACAGAGGCTTTCATGGTGCCTTTTTTCTCTTTTCTTAATTATTGAAGTTTCAGTTCTCATTTACAGGTCCAACAACATCCATTATCCCCACTATGTCTACATGGAGAATTTTTTTTCTTTTTAACCTTTACTATTTAATCTCTAGGGTCTAATACAGCCTGTTACATATTGTAGGTGCTCAGTAGACTAATAGACAAGGACAGGGAATGGTGTCATGTTCAGTGTAAATTGTATAGCTTGAAAGACTCAAACCTTCAGTAGAAATGTGCTGTACATTTCATGAATATTCCTTCATAGTCTTAGATTAATAATAAATAAGAATTTCTGCTCAGTTTAAAATGCTTATGTAAGTGATCATGGGTGTGTACCTGCAACTGATATATCTACAACACAACTCCTGCACCTAACGCTCAGGGAACATTCCAGAAGAGGGTGCGGAGAGATTGTAAGAGCCAAAGGACCAGGAAAACTGCTGTGAGATTTATCTTCCTAGAAATGACAGGGGAGCTTCACCCATGACACCTTAACAATATAACTGTTTAATCAAGAACTGAAAAGTACAACTCCAATAGATATGCTAATATGGAAGGGGAAAATCTCTAGAGGGCCCCACCTCTAGACAAAACTATGTGCAACTGAGACTACTGAGAGTGGAAGAAATAGTGTTCCTCAGAAATGAGTTCCCTAATTGGTTATCCAATACCGAGGGGCCAGCTCCGAAGTCATATACCAGTAACACTAAATGGATTGAACAGGTTGTATTTATATGTATGCATATGTAACAATAACAACTAAATAAAAAGAATGCATGATTTCAAGAGGAGGAAGGGAGGGGGGAGAGCTTGGGGTAAGAGAGAACATGGAAGAGGAAAACTATGAAATTGTATTTTAATTAAAAATAAACTGTTGATGCTCCAAGTCTTAACTATTATGAACTATCATTTTTATTTGTTTTACTTTTGTTTCTTAAACCATGGATTTATAGCTATTACTATAGTTAGAGTGTGCCTCGTCTCAACTGCATTAGTGAGCAGTGCTGGTTCTTTTCTAGATAGTTATAGAATAACTATAGTATTACTAATAGTATTAGTTAATAGTGTAATAGTTAGTATACTATAACTATTAATATTCTAAGGATTTCTGGCCTTTCTTAATCCTAGTCAGATACTTGTTGGTGTGCTTGCAGTTACACTCCTAATTATTTTTTTCTCTGTTTGCCATAGGAATTGCTCTACAGTCAATAACAGGCAGTCAGCGTAAGTATATTTGAATTCAAAATGCATAAGTGACCTTTTAATTCAGCATCCCTAAGACATACATATGTTGTTTAGATAAACTATATATATACTAAAGTGTACATTACCCACAAGCTTAGAAAATTATATCACCAGCTTACTGTTGGTCAGCTGATCCTAGTATCTGCCTTGCTCAGATTTGACTTTAGTGCATGTCACAGGACTTACCCAAGGATGAGGTTCCAAATTTTTATACTCAGGGCTTAAGCAGGCAGAAATGCCTGTCTGCTTGCTCTACTTGCTTAACTGATTCTTTATGTAGCATTATTGTCTTCATAAGCCATTGTCTATACCTCTGTATTATGGGGACAGGTGGTGAGTTGCTATTTTTCACTTCCTTTTTCTTTTTAGGTGTTTTTTGTTGTTGTTGTTTTGTTTTTGCTTTTGTTGTTGTTCTTAATCTACCTATATTCACCTAACAAGTATCTGAATATCTGTGACTGCAACATGTGACTCCTGCCTAGTTTAGTAATTTCCATTCAGAGGCTCTAAATAATAAAATTTAGGGGCCTAAAGAGATTGCTCAGTGGTTAAGAGAATTTGCTGTTCTTGCAGAGGACCCCACTTGAGTTTCCATCACCAATATCAGGCTGCTCACAACCACCTGTATACCTATATACCTCCAGCTTCAAGAGAGTCCATACTTTCTTCTTATCTCTGTGGGTACACACACACACACACACACACACACACACACACACACACACACACACACACACGTAAAAGTGCAAACATGCACATGCACACGCACAAATAAATCTTAAATAAACAAGTGTAAATTAAAAATGTAATTTATGTTCTCAAAGTTATTCTTTAGAGAACAATACCATGTGTTTGCTTGAGGTTAAAGTTGGGCCATCTCTGAGGAAGTTTTGAGGCTGATTATTTAGGACAATGAGAGAGCAAAGATTCAAAGAAGTAGTCGTATAATATATGGTGCAGTTACATTTTATGAAAAAGGAAAGGGAAATGATCTAGTTTTTCCCTGCTTTATGTTTCATATTTATATTCTATAAAATAATGTTAGTTGCATTTTAATAAGGTCAATGGCAGAATTTAATACCTTAGTATTTAAATTGTACTTACTTTTTTTTTTTTTTTTTTGGTTTTTCGAGACAGGGTTTCTCTGTGTAGCTTTGCACCTTTCCTGGAACTCGCTTTGGAGACCAGGCTGGCCTCGAACTCACAGAGATCCGCCTGGCTCTGCCTCCCGAGTGCTGGGATTAAAGGCGTGCGCCACCACCGCCCGGCTTGTACTTACATTTTAAAGTACCTAACACTTAGAATTTATTTAACTATCAATGAGGAGTCACATTGTTTTGGTTTGTACTGATTGGTTCCAGGTTTATATGCATACCTGTGATTTATGGCTAAGTAGGCATGCAATTTTCACATAGAAATGAAGTGTTTATGTGCTTGCCATGGAGCAAATGTTGAAGTCAGGATAACTTGCTGGATTGGTTCTCTCCCTCTACCATGTGGGTTCTGGGAATCAGTCTCAGGTCATCAGGCATGATGGCAAGAGCCTTTACTTACTGCACTATCTTGCTTGCCTAGTAAATATTTTATGATTATAACAAAAGGCTAAACTTCTCAAAACTTTGCCACTCGATTTTATGTCTTTCTCTTTATTATTTAGGTATGGATATAGAAGAGTTACAGAACGATGAAGAAGAATTGAGTCCACCTGTGATGGAATACAGTATAAATGTGAAATCAAACACTGAAATGCAGTTAGCAGAAATAAATAAAGATGTATCCTCGATACCTAGTGAATCTTCAACAGAATCTGTTAAAGATCTTCAAGAGGTATAAGGTTTACCATTTGAATTTGAAGAACTTATACTGCACTTCAGATGTTGCTTGTACTATATTGAGAGCATTGGAGGCAAGAGTCGGAGTTGAAATGACTCTGCCCATTTCTTTCAACTGTAGCTTCTCCTTCAGTAATTATTTTGTCAAAAGTCAAGCACTTTGTTAGCTATTGGAATCCATTTTTTTTTTTACTCTCGGCCATTGGAAGTACATTTGGGAGAGAAAAGAACAAGATATAATAGGAATAGAAGAGATAGAGAAAATAAGAACAGTGAGATATTTCAATATCTCTTAACACAGAAGTAGAGATGAAATCATCTAGATGAAATCTGAGTGGCTTAGCAGATAGCTGCTGTATAGATACTATTTTACTCTTTGGCTGAAAATTTTATCTTATGAGCATGAATATATTGTTGCTCTTTAAAAAGTTCCATTCTCATTTTTTTTGTTGTTTTTGTTTGATATGTTCTCTGTGTTCTTTTTCAAGGATTTGAAGATTGAAATTAAATTAAATATACTTGTTTCCATAAAAATGTAGAAAATATCTAGAAAAAATCCATAAAAATCTAGAAAAATAATTATTAGAAGACATAGACTTCAGTAGTTAGAAGAAACTAGATAATATCCACTGTACAACTTGAATAACATATTAAGTAAATGGTTTATTTCTTATCTATTAGGTTAAAAGTAAAACAAAGAAGAAGAAGAAAACTAAGAATAAAAAGGTAAGTCACTGCATTGGCATTGTAACAGATGGATGTCTGATCGTGAATACCTGAAGTTTAATAATACACAATTCACAATTAGGACTTAAATTCATCCAGATGGACATACAATACAGGTTATTCAAAACCTTATTGAGCATACATTTACATACATCTGTATTTCTATAGTAAACAGTCTTAAATTAGTCACTTGATAATTTCTTTAATTTCTGCATTATACTCTCATTTTTTAAAATGGCTGTAATCAGATTTTTCTTTGGGCCACCAGCTCACAAATAATAACATGGAGACTAATTATTTAATTATGAAAGCTCAACTTTAGCTTAGGCTTGTGCCTCTAGCTCTTATAACTATTCAATTAACACAATTTTTATTAATCTACATTTTGCCACATGGCTTTTACCTCTCTCCCATTCTGTGTGTCTGACTCATTCTGCATTTCCATGGCATCTTTCACATGCCTAGATTCATCCTCCTCTCCCTTTCCTCGCAAATCCCACCTGAACCTCCTGCCCAGCTATTGGCCGTTTAGCTTTCTAGTGCACCAATCACAGCAATGCATTTTCACACAGTGTTCAATTATCTCACAAAAAAATTGTTCCTTATTTTATTAGCAGCTGTTTTTTTGTCACATCCCTGCTGTATTCCAAAGTGTTTTCTCAAAACTTTCTACATTACCCAGTCCTCAGACTTTTGTCAGCTGCAAAAAAGAAAAGCCACTGTATGAATTATAGATGTTATTAAAACTTCTCTGATTTGCTTGGAGAAGTATAAGGAAAAATGGGAATATTTTTAATGGTGCATATGGCTAATATTTATGCCATGTGAACTTCGTGATTAAAAGAAAAATCATAATTTTTCTAATATGGAACATACTCAAAATCTTAATACTTCTGTGTATCATAAACTGACTAGTTTCTCTAAATACAGTTTACTTATGTTATTAGTCACTAAGATGTATATAAACATTTTAATGACTAATGAAACTTAATGAAGATTAATTTGTAAAATACTAAGATTAAGAATAAAATAACATTGTAGTCTGCTAAGTAAAATATCAGTGTCATTGTCATACTATTGTAACCATTATAAAATTTACTCAGTTGCTGTTATGAAAATTAAGCTAAAAATATGAGTATTTTGGGAGGGACTGGAGAGATGGCTCAGCAGTTAAGAGCATTCATTGACTGGTCTTCCAGAGGACCCAGGTTCAATTCCCAGCACCCACATGACAGCTCACAACTGTCTGTAACTCCATTTCCAGGGGATCTGACACCTTCACACCAATGTGCATAAAATAAATAAGTTAAAATAAATGTTTTAAATTTTTAGTAGTTTTATTTAATAAGGTACAGCAGCACTCATTAGTGATATTTATTTTCCAAGATAATGCTAAGTCTCAGGGTCATACCCCATAAGCTAGCATGTATCTAAATGACTGCTTTTTTAACATTCTGGGATTCTGCAATTTAGTTTTATTAAAGAAACTGAGAGACTTTTGAAAATGATAGTTTTATTAAGAGATTTTTGGCATTACAAGACAAATTCATGTTATATTTTAAACTTAGTATTAAATAACTTACAAATTCTAAAAATAGAAAATTAGGCTTGTAGTAATTTTATGTTGTGTTACATAATTAGTGTTGCTATAGGTATAACAGTGTATATACTTTTGTAGTATATACAGGAGGCCCTGAACACTGTCGGCCTCATTGTCTAATCAAAAATTCCCGTGAAAACGGTTAGCATATGGAAGTTTGCTTGTTATACGAAGTAATGACAAGGTCTCTGAGAAATTGCAACCTCCTTTCTTGGTTGTTTTATTACATATGGACCTAACAATATAACAGTAGCTCTGAAAATGCCTATCATGAATTTGCATTCATGCAGGAATGTCTGGAAGAAAGCAATCAAATTTTGTGTATCTCCCACCAGAGTTAGAGTAAGGAAAAGACTAGGAGGGTTTTTGGTTTGTTTGTTTGTTTGTTTCTTTGTTGTATGATGAAGCCTTAAGAAGAAAGAAACTTGACAGGAAAATGAACCCTGTCCTTTAAATTGAGTTGTCACTGTACAGGGGAGAATGGCAGAGATTCATACTAAGGCTAAAGTGGATTGACGTGAAGTTTTCACAGGAAGAGCTAAAGTGGACTTTGGAAAATGATAATCAACTGTTCTAGATGTATTCAGTATGAACAGCTGAAGGTCTTTTTATATCAGGTATTTGACTCAAGTATTCACATATGCTAAAACCGAGGTAGAGATCAACATTTCTAAATTGTAAAAAGAAATTGGTATAAAAATGAGAAAACAAATTTGTATGTACAGCCTTGTACCTGTAGAGGAAATGTGTAGATAGTAGAAGTCAATACTCCTGGTTAATTAATATTCCTAATTTAAGTTGTGTTCATGTATATTAAGTGTCTTTTATGTATAAGATTCTTCAAATATCAATCTGATTTATTTTTTTCCATGTAGTTTTTCAAAATCCTTTTATTTAGTTAGTGTGGAAAAAATGGATTTTACAGATACTCTGTCCCAAGGTTTCCTAATAGATACAAACTCACATCCAGTATTCACTTCTATCATCTCATTCAGTGATTTTCAAGATTATAAGATAAATTTAATGAGACGCAAACACTATTTAAAAGGGAAATAGGATAAGTAGGAATTAGAAAAACCACATTGTATCACATACAGGGTGGTTATGTATTTCATAGAATTCTGTTTTATAGTTGACTGATGATACATAAGTATGTACAGCATCATTATACAAAATGATGTATAATTTTTTAGTTGTTGTGAAAAGTTTGAGAGAAACACACCTGAATGCAATATTATCACTGTGTTGAGCTAAAGTAGTTGATACAGATTACTAATTCTTGTGATGCTGTCTTTTCAGGATAAGGACTCAGAAGAAGAGCAAGGGTAAGTATTTACATCTTAACTTTTCTTAGCATTTTTAAGGTATGCTTTGTCAATAATACATGGATATCTTTTTGGAAACTTCTAAGGAAAAACGGTTCTTTGTCTTATAAATTGGTATTTTACTGCAGGGTAGATTACTATTGACTTTGGAAGAATAAAATCACCATTTTTTCTGTAAGGCTATTCAGTAGTCATCTAACACACTAACTCCTTCATTCAAACACTGACTTGAATGCTTACTAAAGTAGGTAAAAATATACATAGACTAAAACTTAATTTAATGGATAGATCATTCTTATGTCCCCAACAGACATATGTATATCCTTTCTTTGGTTGGGGTAAATGTATGAATTGTGATGATAATATAATATTGAAGATGTGGAAATGCTCGACCTGTCCCAAAATACTATATCCAAAATAACTAACGTTAATAACTATAATTTGAAAAATAAACCCTGTGGCCTCACAATTCCTGAAAACACTGCTTTGAGCAATTAAATAGGTATTTTGAGCAAGTACTACCTCATATGTTAATGTCCATTGTTAGTGTTCATGAGAAAAGAACAGTGTGAGCACTGTCTAGACTTTGACCATGAACCCTTATAATGCAGAGTATCTCACAAGGCAGTATAATACTAATTTGAGAGGCCGTAGCCTATAAGGAAAGCACTGTACCTTTGTAAAAGGTCACATTGACTATGTCCCCACTATAGCTCATATATGGTAGAAAAGGAAGACCAACTGGAAACAGAACAAGTAGATGTACACACACTCAGCACATCCGTAAAAATTGATGCAAGTGATGCGCAAGAAGATTCTGCAGCGGAGGACAAGTTCTGTAGCCTGGATGAACTACATATTCTGGACATGGTAGAGCAGGTGAGCAGTGGAGAGGGCCCAGCCCTGCCTTCCTCCTTGGAGAACAAGTTGTTAATTTTGTTTTTGTAGACTGTTTAAGCAGTATGTCTTTTTGAAAAGCCCAGCAGAAAATGAACAAAAACAGGGTGTATTGCAAGACAAGGGGATTACAAAAAAAAAAAAATTGGCACTACAAACTTTACATGTGCCCTCAAAATCACTTCATGGCTACTGGGCAAAGTTAATAAATGCCTTTCTTGTAAAAGTGGTTTCTGAAGAGTGTGAAGGAACAGAGAGAGGAGACAACACCACCACACTAAAAACTAGAATAAATCCCACCAAATTACATGTCATGAAAATAGATTTTAATAAATCAAAACTACTTTGATTTTTTTTAATTAAATTTGGTTACAACCATGAAATACCTCCTAAAAAGCACTAGTGTATGGCAATTTTTTATAGCTCCTTTTCTGATAGTAGCCACCGATTGAAATGATATACCCATAAGTGTATGAATATTAGTGCTCAAAAGAGCAATTAATTGTACAAAGTACATGAAGGATTGAAAACACACTCACATGCACATGCACACACACATTGTGTTTGAATTTAGTGGTGAGCTGCTCTATGGTTTAAAATGTGGATACATCACAATCAGTTACCCATTGCCCAAGTGTCAAGTTGATTTGAATAAATCCCTGGTTACAGTATTAAAATATGTATATATTAACTGAATTGACATAGCTTTGGCTATTACACTGAAATTTAAATATGGGGTCATTAATGTTAGTCCAGTAACCCAGAAGAATTCTAAAGTGAGAATCAAAATGTCACATACTTGCAGAGAATGTTTATTCGCTTATTAGAAACCATTGAGCCACCTGCAAGGTGTCATAAGTGTGCTCTAGTGAGGTCCTTGTTAGTGTATTGTTTATGATGTAGGAGAGAAGTTGAACATTAAAATAAGTTGGTGCACTGCTGTAATTAAGAGTGGGCACTTGGTATTGCCTAAGTTAGAATTCAGGCTCTTCCACTTAATGTCTGTAAACATGGGCAAGTTACTTACCCTTTTAGTATCTTAAAATGCAAATAGCAAGCACCTCATCATATGATTCCTATAAAAATAAGAGCATTACAAAAGCTACAAGTAGCAAACATGATTGTCACTCAGCAGTAGTGGCAACTTACAGCTGTTGTATTATTTAATGGGTGCTATTAGGGAAGTAAAGCATAAATGGGAATTGTTATATAAGGCAACTTTATATACAGGTGAAACACTGTAAATGGAAAATAATAGTGCTTTTTATAGGAAATAAATATTCTTGTTACATTTGCTTAAGGGCTCATCTGGAAAGGAAAGTACAGACTGCAAAGAAACTGAAAAGGAAAGGCTTGCTCATCAACACCAGCTTTATAAATTGCAGTATGAGTGTGAAGTGAGTACTTTTGTCATTAGATCTAAGGGAAGTAATAAATAGATCAAATGTTTAATTTCAATGACATCGTTTTAAAGAACTCAATGAAATGAACCTTTATTCATTACTGGTGGGGGTGCAAATTAATACAAACATTGTTCAAATCAGTGTGTAGATTTCTCAAAGAAATAAAAATAGAAACGCAGGGACCCATCCTTCTCACTCCTTGCCATATACTCAGGGAACTCCGTGCCTACCGTAGAGATGTTTGCATCCATCTTGTTTTTTGCAGCTTTATTCACTATAGCAAAGAATTGAAATCAACCTTCTCTATCAGTAGATATTGAATGGATAATGAAAATTTGGTGTGATGGTAGCTTCAGTAGCACATAAACTAAAATTGGATTGATACAGAGAAGACTAGCATGGCCCTTGTGCAAGGATGACACACAAATTTGTGAAGCCTTCCATATTTTGTCCAACTCTACTGAGTTAGTTTTTGTTTTCTTTTGTTGTTGTTATTTTTGTTTTTCTGAGACAGGGTTTCTCTGTCTAGCTTTGCGCCTTTCCTGGAACTCGCTTTATAGGCCAGGCTGGCCTCGAGCTCACAGAGATCTGCCTGCCTCTGCCTCTCGAGTGCTAGGATTAAAGGCGTGTGCCACAACCGCCTGGCAGTTTTTGTTTTCTTATTATACCTTAAAAGCCTGTTTTCCAATGAGAGACAGAAAGGGAGTAGATCTAGATGGGAGGGGAAGTGGGGAAGAACCTGGAAGAGTAAAAGGAGGTGAAACCATAATCAGGTATATTATGTGAGAAAAATACTTATTTTCAGTAAAAAGAAAATTTGGTGTGTATGTGTGTGTGAGAGTGTACACACATATTTATGAATACTGTTTAGCTCTAAAGACAAATAAAGTTTAAAAATCTGCAAGAAAATGGATGGACTTTGATGTATAATATTGAGATCACACAGTCTCAGAAATAAAGTGCATGCTCACTTGTATGTGGAATCTAGACTATATATATATATACGTGTATGTATATATATTTTATATATATAAACAAGTGTGCATGTGGGTACTGTATAGTATGAAAGAACAAGAAAGACTGAATAAGGAGAGGAGGAAGGACTAAATATGAATAATGGATATAAGTTATGAAAGAGAATATAAAGTTGTTCTTTTGCCATAGGTTTTTTGTGGTGATAAATGCATAAAATATTTGATACTGAAAATGAAATATTTAATGTGAAGCTTTAAAATTCTCTTTTTAATGACAATGTTAATCATACATAAGTTCATTAAGTTGTATAGACTTTGGGGCTGATTAATTTTGGTATGTAATGTTTTTATTTATTTGCAAGTATTTTTATGATGAACTTCATTTAAAAAATAACTCAATGTAGATTTTGGATTTTGTTCTTTCAAATTTGTGGTGACTTGAATGCTGTAAAACAATACTTTTCATTGAGCAGGATTACAAAAGACAACTGAAAACAGTGACATTTCGGTGGCAGGAAGCTCAAATGCAGATTAAAAAGAAAGAAAAAATTATTGTATCTCTTAACCAGCAAGTGGCTTTTGGAATCAATAAAGTGTCCAAGTAAGTACAAACTTTGGGTAAAAGTGAAAATTCTGAATTTGCCTATCTTTTTCAGTCTTAATCTCCCTGCAGCCACTAGGTGGCAGTGTGACTGCACAATAGCAATTATAAAGCAAATGATTTAAATGGTATAGGAGTTCATTTGCTGTTTTCAAGGCCAAGATTTGGGATTCATATAATACATACTCAGTCCCTTTCTCAGCCACAGTAGATAGAGCTTTTCTGTGTTAATGAGAAATAATTTCTAACATTTTATGATTTACTTCATTATTTGCTTAGATTACAGCGCCAAATCCATGCTAAAGATGATGAAATAAAGAACCTTAAAGATCAACTTTCCATGAAAAGGTACGGCATTTCCTTGTGTTGATACTGCCTCTCTTAAACTGCATTTTACTCAATATTTTTAGCTGGGATAACCAGTAATTTATCATCCAGACATCACTTTTCACATGAGATTGAGTAGTAGCAGCAGCTACATTGGGTTAATAGGTGTAAACAAGAAGAGGTGTAGGCAGATTGGAAGTTATGTCATCATCACTCTGACTGAAGAAAACCGAGAGCAGTCCAGTCAGCAGCATTGCAGTCTCACAGCAAATTGCTACCAGAAACTGGAATTTCTTCTGTACTGCCAGGTCTAAGTCCTTTGTAGTATTGAACGTTTTACCAAGACTCACTAATTCACATAGAATGTATTTCACCTGGTTAGTGCAAATGGCTCACTGCACTTTTAATATATTCATTGAAGTACATAACCATCACTGCTCTCTCTTTCCAGAACGTTTTTGTAAGCTCTAAAACGAACTATGTACTCTTTCAGTGCTACCCCCTCTTTATTCCTTTAGCTTCTCGTAACACTAATTTGTGTCTTTTGGATTTGTGTATTCTGAGCATTTCGTATAAATGCAGTTATGTGACTTCTTGTAGCCAGCTCCTTTCATTTAACATACTGGTTTGAAATCCCTCCATGTTATAGCATGCATAAGTATACTTTCTTTTTATAAATCTGTATTGTTTAGATGTAGCACATTTTGTCTTCATCTGTTTGATGTCCATTTGGCTTGACACAACCCCCTTATTAGGAAGCATTTATATATAGATGTTTTTGAATGTTTTCCTTTTGAATATATACCAAGAGTAAAATTGCAGGGTCTTCAATAAACTTTGCATTTAACTTTTTAAAGAATTACTAAGCTGTTTTACAAGTAGCTACACCCTTTTATAGTGTAGGTAAGTGTTGGTGGGCCAGTTCTCATTTCTCTTCTTTCTCACCAAAACTTCTTAGATTATTTGTAATTGTTTTACCTGGTATATGTTAAATATAGAACAGAATGTCATTTTGATTTAGATTTGTATTTTTCCACTGATTTAAGTACATTCAAGAACATCTTATATGCTTATTAATAATCAGTGTATCTTCTTGAGTAAATTTTAATCCAAACTCTTGGCCTATTTTAAATTTGGAAATCTATTTTACTACTGAACACGATGAGTTCTTTGTATGTTTTATGAAGTAGGATTTTTGCTGTGCCTCAAGGAAGTTAGGGAAGTGCTCTTGCAATCAGCTGTCAACAGCCCTGCATACAATTGTGATCTTTAGGTATTTTTACCCATTTTGAAAGTTGTTTTCCATTTGCCTGATGTGTTTAAAGCACAACTTTTATTTTGATGGAATAAAATTTTCTTTTTATTTTAGGGAAATTTTATACAATATTATAATAGTTAATACTTGTATTGAGGTAATATGTCTGCTTAAATATTTTATATTTTTCTCCCTAGTAAGTACTATTCTTTTTTTTTTTTTTTTTTGGTTTTTTGAGACAGGCTTTTTTTTTTTTTTTTTTTTTTTTTTTTTTTTTTTTTTGGTTTTAATGGTATATATTTGTCATGTTCCCCCACCAATATTTCTTTAGGATTTTAAGCATCTGAGTGTATTTATTTCTCTTAACAAAACATTGAAAATGTTTTCTGAGATGTTCCTTATTATAAAATTATACTTTCAATTGTTCTTGTTAAAGGCAGAATTTAGTTGGCAGGCTATGTAGTTCTGAGATTTCAGTATAGAAAAAAAAGAAAGAATCTTCAGAGCTTCCACATTCTGTAGTAGCCTATACAGTATGGTTCTCTTCTTACATTTCAATCTATGGAATTCAATTCCATTTTAAGGTGTGAACTCCAAATACTGAAAAAACTAGTAAACTATTTGATTGCAGTGACTTCCTTATTACAAGGGTAAGGAGTTATATGGCTGCTGCTGTTGATGCAAGAGCAGGCATTGTTAAATAAAAATGACAATAACTAACATTTAGTATGTAATGTCAAACATGGAATGTTTTATTTATATTTTCTGAATTATTTTTATAGCAATTGTTTTTTTTAAGGTGATAAAACTTTCTCCATTTTCACATGTGCAGAAATTAAGTATAGAGAACTAAGTACCTCGCTCTTGTGGTTCCTCCACTATTATACACTATTGCCTGAGTAGTTACTAACAGCAGACACTGATTTCTCCAAGGTTGAGATAACACCCACTTTGATATCTAATAAGGGCATGCTGCCTCCCAGCAGGTCTTTCTCATCTTATTCTACCCTCACATAGTAGGAGGGCTGTGGACCTGTCTCAAAGTATCATTTAAAATAAAGTACTATTCCCATCCATGACAATTTCATCCTTATGACCATATCACTTCCCAGAGTTCTGTGTCCAAATCATTAGGGAAAAAGTACTGCCTCTTCCAAGGTCCTCATTGGGGGTTTATTGTATGTCAGTACTTTTCTGGGGAAGACACTCTATTAGGGAGGAGCCTAGTCAATCTGGTCAGTTTCAGGGACTTCCCGAGGCTGTTTTGAGTTGTTTATACCTTACTGTTTAAGTGATTTTCTGCAAGATGGAATATTTAAATCTTGGAGGAAACTTACACAACAGGGTTGAAGATTTCAACTAATAAATGTGGGTCAAGGAGAACTAAAACATTTGATCCAGAGTTCTTGTCTAAGGTTTAACATTTAATAGGTTGTGGTGGTAAGATTCATTTTAAGATTACAGATTCAGAATTTAGGTTATAACCTCTGTGCTGGGGACCTTAAAACTTCTGTACTTTTGTTAGTAAAGAATAATAAGTTTTAAACAGTGTCCTCTCTTGTTTTGATGTGCTATGTATACTTGTTTAAGAAAACCTTTTCTTCTTGTGATAGTTTTATATTCCTCCTTCTGAATATGATGGAAAGGGCTATCATTGTACTATTGCTAATTTTTAATGATCATTCATTTCAGATCTCAGTGGGAAATGGAGAAGCATAATCTGGAAAGCACAGTTAAAGCATATTTAAACAAACTGAATGCAGAAACCAATAGAGCCTTAACAGCTGAGGTAAAAGGAAAATGGGAATGGAGGAGGAAAGATAGTTTTACTTTAGTATCGTTAAAGAGTTGTAGAAGATTGGCTTTGAATAAACAGAACTAAGACATCTTAATATCATTCAGAAAAATCCATCTTAAATGCATACCCTTTTGTTTACTGGCATGTCATTTGGGAGTACTTGTGTATTTCTAGTCTTATGTTGCTTTCCTTCAGTGACTCCAAGAAATCACAGTATTTATAGTTAGAGACTAATTCTCAGGAAGCTAGGTCACTAAGCCATACTTGTAAGAATAACATTTAACCACTACTGTAATAATACTTTCTCTGCTATGCCCCATACAAATCTTCCAAAAATCCATATATATCATAAGCCCCAATGTCAGAAGCAAACTTACTTTCCATAACCCTAGAAAGTCACCTAATACTGTTAAAGTTAGTTAATAATACCACAGCTAGGGTCTCTCAGAAGAAACAAGGTTGCATATGTGCATGTAGTTTTTATTTATAGCTAATGAAACTTGCTGTATAGTAAGATTGACATTGTTTGAAGAGCTTGCTGACATCAAAAAGTATTACAAACCTTGCCACTTGTCACTGGTAAGCTGTGTGCTCTAGTAGAGTTCTTGAGAGTCCAGAACAACAGAGGTGTGGTGATCCAAGCACACCATGGAAACAGTCCTGCAGCCTTATCCCCACAAAGGAAAAACAGGCCTTACCTGCTTAGTCTTTGTTTCTGTCTGCTTCTGTTACTAATTTTAGGAAATACTTTCTAACACTTATTGCTGTCTAAGACTATTCATTTTGGTAATTATTGAGTGATTAACAGCTAAAACTTTAGACAAAATGATTGTACATCAGTAATGATGTGGAAAGTCTTCCTGCTGTGGGAGAAATATTGGGCCAGAAGGTTTGTAGGGACCATTTGAACTGTGCCTTTCTGTAGTCTGATTACTTCTGTAATTCTGTAGCCCTTCATCATGAACATATAAACAGTAGGATCTCTTTTGAATATTCTCAAACTGTGAGAACTTTAAAAAAAACTCTAATGTCTTGGCTATCCCTATTATCAATTAAGTTAGTATTTCTGGGACCAAAGCACTGCTTTTTAAAGTTTGCAAGACTAGTCCAGTATGTGGAAAAATTTGAAAAGTGATGTTCTTGGGTCCTTACTAACCCAGTAACTATTGAATAAAATAACTAAAATTGCAGTTGTCTTGATCAGAAAGCATTCACGATGTCTCTTGTCAGGACACTGCAGTGTTTCTGGGAGAGACTAAAGTTTTCTTGAGATGACTAAGAGGAGGATGCCCACTTAGAATTCCCTTCGTTCCTTTCTCTTTCAAACCTCTGTAGGTGTACTTCTTACAGTGTCGTAGAGATTTTGGTTTGCTGCACCTCGAACAGACGGAAAAGGAGTGCCTCAATCAGCTTGCCAGGGTGACTCACATGGCGGCAAGGTAACTTTCTCTTCTTAATTCGCTGTGACCTCAGAGAGGGACAGATGTCTGCATACTTGAACATAATGGTCGATGAATTTTACATATGTGCGTCAGAGTTGTTGAAGTAATCCCAAGCTCTTGGTTTGTTTCTTTGTGCTTGATGCGTGGTGTTGCATTTCCTGAGTTGTTGAGAAGCACTGAGTATAGTGGCAGCTTCCTCCCAGTGAGAGGCGTGCATGCAGGCCAGATGCGCAGAAGACAGATTGGAATTGGAAAACTCTTTTCTGTTAATGCTTGCTTTTAAGTCCTTTTGTAATACATTTAGGAAAAAATTGGTAGTAACACCTAATGCTACATGTTAAATGGCAGTTATTGCTGTGCTATATTAATTTTCAGATATTGGAATGAGCTTCATGAAATTTTCCTTAAATTTATAATCTTACAGGGTATAGCTTTAAAATTTAGTGAGTTAATTATCTCTGAGATCAAAGCATTATTCTTTTATAATAATCATCATTTTTAAAATTGTCATTATTCTTTAATACTAATGTATAGTAAAGCTGAGAAGGTACTGTTGTGAGTGATCAGTCTGTCTTTGCTTGCCAGAAGGAGAAAGAGCATTGTATAAATTAGAATATTGTGGAGCTCCTTTTTATCTGATCTTAGTGATGACTTGTTTTGCTATTGTAAATTGTTGAGCTCATGGTATAGACATGGTAATGCTGCTATAGATAGTCATTTTGGAAATCCACAGGAAATTTCTTGTAGAGACAGTATGCACTAAATTTTGTAAGTTTTTCCTGACTTAACTATTTATAGGATTGTATCAGTTGCTACACTGGTGCATTTTGTACACTTTATCAGGGCAGTGATAGCGTTCTTCCTCACAGGAGATTGTTGGTTGGTTTTATTTGTATTTGTGTGTGTGTGTGTTTGTTTTTATAATTTGTCATGTCAGAAGTAATTTAATTTTCTAATTTACATTAGAGCTAGATAGATCAATTCTAGCTCTTTGATATCAGGATTAGCATGAAGATAATCCAAAACCTGCCTCCAAGATGAGGCACCATTCTTGAGATTGCACCTGATTTAAATCCTAAGGCAGCGTCTGTGTTTGCATTTCTCTGCTTCCCTACTGCATTGGAGACACTTGCATGCAAAGCGATTTTATAATATTATCAAGATAGGAAAGAAAAGTGGTGTTCTGGAGATAGGAAGAAATAGTTTCTGGAAGCATGTGTTATTATCTTCCCTTATAAAGGGTGTATATATTGCCGGTTTCTCTGTTTATTAATAACAAGCCTTTCCATGTATCTTTAACCTTTGAGGTAATCGCTAGTATTGGGGATAGTCTTCTTTTATATTATTGATATAAATACTAGAGAACACTTTAGAAATTTTTGGAAACCTCAGTGTTATATATAAAGAAAGCTTCTTCTGTGTCTCCTTTTCTACATCAGCAACTTAGAATCACTTCAATTAAAGGCAGCTGTGGATAGCTGGAATGCCATTGTGGCAGATGTTAGAAACAAGATTGCATTCCTCAGGGTAAGTGCTGGAGTATACTTCAATCAAATTGGCAGAATTATTTGAGAGTACATACAGGAACATCTACCACTAAAAGCAAAAAGTTAAGAAACTTAACATTTTTTTCATCTCAGTTACCAAAGTTTATGCTCTCAGTTTGTATTTTTTTTCATATAGTTAATGTTAGATATAAATTATAGACTTATGTGTGACTTTTTAGATCCTTATCCCAGGGAGAGATAAACTCAAAAGTTGTTCCTTACCTAGGTTTCCCAGAATTTCAAAGCCAAACAAAATTAAACTCCTATCCAGCTGTAGAATTAAGTGTAATGTCAAATTAAGCTATATTCGTTTCTAGTATTAACAGTTTATATAATTGTTCCATAATGTAGAATCTTAATTACTGATTTAATTGAATTGAGACTGTGAGAAAGCCAGACTAGTGACTATTTTTGACATGATCCTCAGATCTTTGTATGTGATGTTGATTGGTTGTTACATCCACACCACATCTGTAAACGAAGCAGTGGTGCTCAATTACAAAGAGCTGCCTCAGAACACTGTGGTCTTGTTTACTTTTCAGATGATGGTTTTAACTGTTTCTGCCTGGAATCATTGTTCCTCTGTCTTTAGTGGTACTTAGAATTTCTTTTAGGAGTATTCAGAGTTTTAGCCTCAAAAGCACTGTTCCTTGTTTTCTGTCCTTGTTTTCTTCCAAGCCTATTTCCTGCATGGAAATCACTAAATGCTTCTTTATATATAAGGTTTTGTTTTCCAGTTCTTATGGCTTGTTTACTAAAATGAATGAAGAAAATTAGGGACAATGCCAGAAAATACTGAAAACGTGAAAGTTTCCCAATTAGTCTTGCTCCTCTTCTCCCCTCTCCTCTCTCCTCTCCTCTCCTCTCTCCTCTCCTTCTCTGCTTTCTGTTCTCCCCTTTCCTACTCCCAAACTGGAGAACAAAATATTTATAGAACTGGAGCAAGCAAGAGTTGTAGTTTTTTTAGGTAAAATAAAATTGCAGATATCTAATTAACATTTTCTAAAATTTTCCTTTTCCTTTTTAAAAAATGAACATTGACAGTGAATTCAGTTCTTTGTTAAAATGTGTTAATTTTCCTATTAGCCCATGTGTTTCTTACAGGTATTAGACTCCTTTAGATTCTATACTCACTTTATATCAGTGGTGCCTGTTTTGGATCTGGAAATATTGGAAACACTGAGGAGTTACCATAAGCAACTGAATTATGTCACTTTATCAATAAATCCCTTAAATACAGCTATTTAAATGTGGGCATGAAAGCCTATAGAATTATTTTTATGTCAGAAATTGTGATATTCTTTTGTCAGTGGGTTGAGAACTATTAGTTTATGTTGAATTATTTAAATCAAACACTGCTATATATTGTTTCTTTAGATTCAGTGGTGGTCTAAAAATATATTTTTCTTCTGTCAGACACAATACAATGAACAAATCAATAAGGTGAAACAAGGGTTTGCCTTGAGTACCCTGCCTCCAGTCCAGCTTCCCCCACCACCACCAAGTCCTGAGATACTGGTAAGATTCCTGGCATTTTGGAAAGTTTCTATCTTCATTTTGATAAATAGTAATGTGTAAAATACAGAATGTATAGTATGTTTGGTGTGTGCTCAAATAGAATTAAGTGCATGTTTTAAATACCAGTTGCCACTGATGGCCAATCCGTGCTGATACAGTTCAGCCGAGTCTAGTTCAGAATGGCATTTAGTCAAGCATTTGAAGTATAAATGTGCTATTTTCATCCTGTGAAACTTACATACATTATGAGAGATAACTTATGAATGCTCAGAATTCTTATTGCTCTTATTTTAGTACTATATAACTAAAACATTGCAGCATAATACCTAGAAAGCTTCCTAGAGAGTCAGTTCCCTCTACTTTTACTTTATACGTTCTTTTAACTTCTAATCTACTGTGTTTTTGACAGCAAGGGCAGTTTCCACTTTCACCACTACTCTACTTATTAAGAAACAGTAGATTTAACCAGATATACTGATCTGTGTACTAGAGTACGTTAATCTGAGAAATACAAGTTTCTGTGAACCTCTAGGTTATTATTTGGGATAATTTTTATTCTTAATACAAGTCTGGATATAGAAAGTAAAGAAAGGTGAAATACTTAGGGGCAAATGGCTTTTGGTGTTAGCATTCCTGCTAACTCTGTAAACTTTATTTCTACTCATTATTAAGTATAACAAAGACCACTTATTTGCTAGAATATAACACAAATGGTCTTTTGTCAAATTCTCAATAGAATCTTTTTTTCCATCTAAAACTTCATGATTGCACTCCATTACTGTTCACATTACTATAAGCATTCTGGTCTTCTCAACTCTCACTAAAATTACCCATTAAACTCTGCTTACAGCATTCTAGAGTTTTCTTGTCAAATATTTCCAAATTCTTTCCACAACAGTTCCGAAGTACTAAAAACCATATGGTCAGATTTAGTCATCAGTGAGATCCTACTACTGAATTCTAGTGTTCTGTGTTTGTTTTATAGTCACTATGATGAAGTACCTAACAAAGCAACTTAAGGGGGGAAGAATATCTTTTGGCCCAGTTTCAGAGGGGTCCATCTGTCAGGGCAGGAAGATTATGGGACAGCAGAGCAGTTAACTTCAGGATGTGCTAGGCAGCAGCAGAAGGGGAAAGCCTCTAATTATTCTCAAGGAATTATTGGTAATTTGGCAAAAGTGAGTCTCAAAGGAACTTCAAGGCAGACTTAGTACCCACCACTTACTCATTGTTTTAAAATTTAATGAAAACTTGGAAGTTATATATAATGTTATGTATAGTTTTATATATGTATGTTACATTCATATATAACTTGATTTTACATAATAAATACGTAAAAAATAAGGAAAATTGAAATCCAGCTTCAGCATTATCAGCAGTTGACAGTCTTGTTTTATATCATCTCCTTCTCTTTATTATAAAGCAAACTCTGGGTATCATATAATTTCGTCAATTTATACTTCAATATATATCCTAAAAGATAAGAAACTTTTACCAGATATAATCACAACATCATTATCTTAGCTAAGAAAATTGTAAGTTATAGATAACATTAATATTTAATATCTAGTTAGAATTTATATATTCTTAATTGTCTCAAAATACCTTTTCTTAGTTATAAGGTGCACAGTGTCTGTGCCCTAGTGATTAAGAATCAAATGTCAACCTGTCTGTCCATTATAAAGTTCATCATTAATTTTCACTTTGTTTAAGATCATTACTTAGAGCCATGTTAATGTTCTTTTTTTCACTTCAGCAAATTATTATTGTGTTCCTGCTTTATGATCATATTAGACCTAGCACACTGGAGAAGTTCCCTGAGCCTGTCTGTCCCCTTCTATACTCAAACAAACCGAAGTTTCTCTCTAACTAACAATTGCCAAGACCCCTTCGGAAATACAAGCACACCCAAAAGGAACCTCTGTGATGGAGTAACCCTTGTTATAAGCTCTATTTTATTCTTCTATTGTCTTTAAAGCTAAAACTAAAGTCCTCATTCCATCAAATGGCACCTTCAGTACACATATATTTTCTGTGGGTAATTTTGAGGATTTTTAGTTGCTGAGTATTGTCTCTCAACATGTACAACATTCACTGAGACCTTTGAGATTTATACATATTATATGTTTGTACATATTATACCTTTGAGAGTTCTATATTATTATACCTTTGAGGGTCTTACATTATTAGATCTGAGGGTGAGTCTTAAAAATCACTTCTCTAACCTTTATTTTATAGTCTAACAATTTGGCTCCAAAGATATCTTACAGAGAAGGTTGTAGCATGAATCTTAAAAGTTATTAGTAAAATCAAACCTGAGCCAGGTATTGGGGCGAATGCCTGAAGATCAGAGAAGCAAAACAAGCCACAGCTACCTCACCTCACCAATTCCTCAGGTGATCCTGTTTCCTCAGACTGGAAGCTTATCAGTCCTCATTCAGAATGAATCTCAGCTGAACTGTGCTGCTCAAAGCCTAAAAGCTTAACCAGCCAAATGCTTCTAGTTTCTGGTCTTCACGCCTTATATATCTTTCTGTTTTTGCCATCACTCCCTGGGATTAAAGGCTCGCTTTCTGGGATTAAAGGCGTGAGTTACCATGCTTGGCTGTATCCTTGAACAGATGGATTTCTGCCTCTGGAATGCTAGGATTAAAGGCATGTGCTACCACTGCCTATCCTAAGTATCTAAAGGCTTTTTTGTTCTCTGACCCCAGATAAGTCTATTAGGATACACAATATTTTGGGGAACACAATACCACCACAGAAGGTCATAGTAAATTCTTAATTCTCTTTCCTTTTTATTATTGTTCTTTCTGTTCTATCTCATTTTCCTTTGCTTTTTCAATTCTTATAGATTTAAATAGTATCATGCCACACACATTGCTTCTTATAGGCTTTGTATCTAAATTTCAAATCAGTGCTTTACCCCGTACATTGTTCTCTGACTTTAAAGCATTGTTCATTTAAACAAACAAACAAACTGAAAAAAAAAAAACTCTATATATGTGCAAGGTTTTTATTTTATTTAATTTTTGCCTTTTTTGTGTTAGATTCAGCAGTTCTTAGGAAGACCCCTTGTGAAGGAATCTTTCTTTAGACCCATCCTTACTGTTCCTCAAATGTCTGCAGTTTGCCCTGGAGTTATCTCTGCAGCTGTACAGCCTAGACCACCCCTGGTAAGAGCCTTTCCTGGTGAAATAATAGTAACTAGTTCTTTATAACTATAATGGGAAACCTGAATGAACATTTTATCTTCATTCATTTGTTTGGAAGGATAATGTTGGTATTGCTGCTGATGATGATAATTAATAATAAATGAGTGAATATCTGTTTTACCTAATGTTAGCTTAGTTTTGAAATACAAAAATTTGCATTTTTATACTACTGAGTTCTTGGAATTGCAGTTTTACTTTTTTGTTTTTTGTTTTTCGAGACAGGGTTTCTCTGTGTAGCTTTGCGTAGTTTTACTTCTGTAACAAATAAAACTGTAAGATAGATTGACATTTTTATTTTTGACGTAGCTGTTCTATAGAAAAACAAAGAGGACAAGTCACAGTGAGCTATTAAGCTACTAAGTTTACATACACACCCAGAGTGTTTCCACTGTATCCACAACCAGTAATATGAGTATCATCAGCGTGGAACAAAAACTCTAAAGTTTTCAATCTTCCTAATTGTAGATAATCCAGTAAGTTTTATTCAGACCTGAAGAAAGATTAAAGACATTTAAAATGGCTAGAATATTTTTTGTCATCTTGACTAAACTTTAAGGGGAAAAAAATGAATGACAAAAATGTCCCCAAAAGAGTGATGTCAGATATAATTAGTGGAATATTTTTCTAATCATGACTTTCCCATAAAGGCACTTGGGCAGTTTAAAAAGTATGTCTGTTTGTCTGTATTTTCACATGTGCATATATGTGTGTGTGTCTCTGTGTGTGTCTGTGTCTATAGTAGTATGTAATTCTTGGAGCTTACTTTCTATCTCTTTTTGAAATATATAGTTAGATAGACTCATTTATGTCTATGCCAACTGTCTACAAAAGATATGTGTATGTCTCAACATTTTAAATAAGTACCACAACTTTTATCACCATGTTAATGGTGTTGCTTATGCAGTTTGCGTGCTGTTATTCTGTAATGACTGGAGTGGAATTTTATTGAAATCTCTTAACCTCATAATAAGATTATCTTCAGATGACTGGAGAAAGCTACAGACTGAGGCAGATTGTATTTGATTCCAACCACTGGTAGTTGTTGCTTACTTTCATGGTGACCCATGGGAGATTTCAGTAAACATTGTCATGGTTTAATTGCCTTAGTAACCTAATTAGCAGTCTAAAAATTATCTTATTGATATTAATTCACTTAATCTTAATGTTTTAAAGGACTACCATAAAATACACAAAAAATGTTGTTCATGTTATAGATCTTTTAGATATACTATTATGCTTTCCACACTGTCATTTGTCTGTGATATTTTTGAGCCTTTTAGCAAAAGCACTTATATTACTATCATCATCTTTATACACAATTTAAAATATTATTGTAGTTAGAGTTTTCTCCAGTCCTGCCTGGCCTACGGTCAGGACAAATCTCTTTCATCCGCCAGTCCCTCAGCTGCTCAGACCCAACCAAGTAAACACACAAAGACTATATTGCTTACAAACTGTATGGCCATGGCAGGCTTCTTGTTATCTAGTTGTTCTATCTTAAATTAACCCCTTTCTATTAATCTATACTTTGCCACATGGCTCGTGGCTTACCAGTATCTTACATGTTGGTACTTATGGTGGCGGCTGGCAGCGTCTCCTAACTCAGCCTTCCTGTTCCCAAAATTCTCTTCTCTGCTTGTCCCGCCTATACTTCCTGCCTGGCTACTTTTATTTATACAGAGCGACATCCACAGCACTTCCCCTTTTCTTTTTTTTTTCAAAATGGAAGGTTTTAACTTTAACATAGTAAAATTACATACAATAAAACAATTATTCCCTCGGATTTCTACTGTTCTACGCAGACTTGGTAAATCAATTAAGATATCAGCTATTTTAAAGGAAAAAGCTACTTAAAAATTTTTTTTTCCACATTTTAAAAAAATGGGTATTATGTGTACATTAGAAGAAAACTGGACTTTGTTTGATAAAATTTTAGGCAGTCTGAAAATGGAACAACTGTATGAGAAGATTAATGTTGATGGGATTATGCACATTATTACTTTCCTTATCCTTATTTTACTGTGTAAAAAGATAGTCAATTTAAGTGCCAGGATAAAAGCTTTAGAAAAACCTGTTAAAATGAATTATAGAGAAATTCAGATTCAGACAAAAGAATTTAACGGTGAAATTGTTGCAGGATTGGATTATAAGGTTACAGAAAGAAAGCCTGTTTTCACACAATCACCCTTAATTTATCCGGTAACCATACAGCAGTTACCTGGTCAAGTGAATGCACAAAATATTTGGACTCCAATTGAAATGCTAGATTTACAAAGGTTTAAGGAAGCAATAGTATCTTACGGCATGCATTCCCCATTTGTAAAGCAAATGTTAAACTCCTGGTCAACTTATAATAAGATTATACCACAGGACTGGCGGGTGAGAGAGATTTGTCCTGACCATGGGCCAGGCAGGACCAGGAAAACTCTAGTTACATTTTATCTTCTTTATTTTTCTAATTATAAAAGTATACTTATGGAAAAATATAATGGAGAAATATAGACAGTTGAAAGTAGAATTACCTTGTGGTTGAATCCCTAGGAAAAAAAATCACCATTTGCAGATTATTGTGTAATTTACAGATGCTTTTATGTGTTCATATGCATGCACTTATTAAAAATTTTAATACTAAAGGAGTCACATCGTAAATACTGTGCTAGATAATGTTTTGAAAAAAAATTAAATGTATTCCATGGCTATCTCTTATGCCCAGACATATACATCTATTTGTAAGAACTTGATTGATTTGCTATAATTTTTTTTACTCAATCCCTCCATTGTTGGCAGACTTTAGGTAGTTTTCAATTTTCCACTATTATTTCTTAAAAATGCAACAATACACTCTGCATGTGTTTCTGTATTAGCTGGTAATTTCAGGACAAACACCCTACTTTTAAAGTAAGTTAAAATAGGTAATAACAAGTTTGAAATATTGTATTTGTTGAGAAATAAACTGTATTAGAGAATGTAGATATCATTATGACTCTTCATTCTGCTTTTTTCTGAGGTATCCAAGTGTCACATTGGCATGAGGTGTTACCTACTAACTGAAGCTGATGGTTATAACTCTGTGCCCTTTACAGATGCCTGGGATAACCTGGGCTATGCCAACACCTATAGGTGATACGGTGTCACCCAGTGCAAGTCTGTGCAGTGAACCTCTCATGATAAACTGGGAGAGGATTACAGACAGGCTGAAAACTACTTTTCCACAACAGACAAGGTACTTTCATTTTTCTTTAGTGGTTACACTGTTTTTCACAGTTTCTATAACGTGAATTGTAGAAATGAAACACTTCACACACATCCACAAGTACAATGATTCTTTACCATGGTCTTAGGAAAATAAAATTGACTAAGTAAGTGCTCAATAGAAATGCTAAGTAAACATTTTTACTTTTTATTAGTCTTAAGACATGAGAAGATTAGTGTTTAAATTTATGTTTGCTCATTTGCTAGAAGTAGTAGTTGTAGACTTACTCAATTTGAATGCCTCTGGCTACAACAATTATCTTAATAACAGGTCACCAAAGTACGTTTTCAGTTAATTGTATGCTGAGCTTCAACATCATTAGGTTTTGGTTTCTTTTTTTATTTTATTGAGATTCCTATGATTTATTTGTGTGTGAGTGGACACAGTTCAATATAATAAATCACGATTTTTCTGGCTTTCACTCTGACTTTAGCAGAAGTAAAGTTAATTCTAAAAATGTCTGTTCTTTGTATGTGTGGAAATAAGTCCAGTTTTCCTTTGTATTTTCATTTGAAAGCAACATATCTTGTTACTAAATTAGATTATGGTTTTAATCAGTTTCATGATTACAGATAGAAAAATAGTTATATAGTTATAGATAATTATAAAATGACTAATTCATGAACCAAAGGAAAGATAAATATCTTCTTTTTCTATTATAAGAACAGGTAGCAATGGAGGATTAAAAAGGGAAATACTGATTAAAATAATATATCTTTTGCTTGCTTTACTTTTCTATTTAATCTTTATTTTTTCTCAGAGTTTTATGAAAGCGAAACATTTAAATATTACAAAGATAAGAAAACAATAGCAAGAGTTATTATTAAAATAGTTTTGTAGAAAGAAATCCTTTAGTCTTGAATGAAATTTGAGATAAAAAGTCCTCAGTATGTAAATTAATTTTCACATAGTGAACTCTTTCATAAACATAGTTAACTTTCACTGGTAAACACATTAAATACCGCTTTTGGACATAATTAATTAGCAGTTTTGCATGGATAGGATTTTCTATCTCATCTTTGAAGGCACATCCTCAAAGCAGTAGGAAAAGCCAAGCTTTCTCTATTCTTGATCTCTTCCAGGAAGGAACTTACAGATTTCTTACAACAGCTGAAGGATTCTCATGGGAAGTCCGTGTCTCGACTTACATTTGATGAAATTGCTTACAAGATTTCTCAAATGATTGAGCCCAAGAAACCTGAGGTAAAACAAACAAATAAAAACAACAACAAACTTTAATTCTCTATTCTATTTCTGTAATAGTGCCATAACATACATAGAGTCGAGAATCAATAACTTAATCATAGGACATCATTGATTAGCAGTAAGTAATTCCACAAATTCAATATGACAAATGACATGGGAAGTGTTTTAGATGAGACTAGAATAAAACTGCTCTCCTTTGAATTTTCTAAAGGCTGCTTTGAACAATTCTGAATGCAAGTTTTGCGTTCTAATTTTCTGCAAAGATTTACTTTATTTAAACTAATGTTTTACATAGCTAACAAATAATGCCAACATTTTATTTCAAGATTTATCATGAATATTGTTTATCCTTTTGGTAGTTTTTGCTACAGTCTATTTTATTCAATTCTGTCAGTTGATACTGTTTTAGGATAATTTTTTAAAATAAATATTATTTTTAGAGTGAAGGAAAATCTGCACCAGATGGTAATAGTGCATCACCCAGCCACACTTCATCACAGCCTAATGCTCCCCAGACCCCCAAATCATCACAAGAGTCTACCACAGGGGAAGGAGACAAAGATTTGGTAAGACAGAAGTTGTTAACTATAAACACATTTAGATCTGAGAGGAAAAAAAATAGCCTAAATTTTATCAGACCTATTTTTCTCTAGGATAATGAAGAGGAAGAAGAGGAGCCCTGTGTGATCTGTCATGAGAATGTGTCTCCAGAAAACCTTTCAGTTTTGCCTTGTGCTCACAAATTCCACTCTCAGGTAAACGTTTAAGCTTGTCCTGTTAACATTTTACCATTAATCAGCTAAGCAAGCTTACTGCCTTACTTAAAAGGTACATCAGCATCCAGTGCCATTTCACAGTCCCACTGGGCATAACTACACTTTCTTCTCTGGGTACCATACAGAAATGTTTACATCTTTCCCTGTATACAGTCATGGTTATACTACGGTTTTCAGGAGGACAGCCTGGAGATTTAAATGGTATCAGTACACAGTTCCCTTGAACAGAACTAGGAGAAACATGAATTGACAGCAGTTGAGTGACAGGACTAACAACAAAGAAGTGTCACTTTACCTCGACTCACTGTAAACTCTACAGTGTCTATTGTCCATATGTAATAATGGCCTCCTCAGTTAAAGCAGAAGACTTGTCTTAGTAATCTCTCTAACCTCTTGTGTTTCTGTTTTAAGATTCCAAGGCTTTTGTATTAATGATAGAAAAATGTGAGCCTGGCATAGCTTTTGTGTTCTTGGTGTCTACATGGATTAACTCCTGGTGCTGCTGCTGTGTATAACTGTTACTGATGTACAATGTATGGTCCAAATCCTCTGGGGGGAAATGTGATTCAACAAAAGAAAGATTATGTTAGACAAGAAGTGTTTTTCTCGGGGAAGTGAACAATTGCCTGATTTTTTCAAACCATGTTTCAAAGATACAGTATGTGGTACCTGATACAAAATTATGTGTGTTATCTGCTTTGCTCTGAAGAGGTTTGTAAAATGCCTAATCCCAAAAGTTCTCCAAGATGACACTTAGCCACCCAACTTTCCCATTTTGAAATTTTAATATGTGATGATTTTAAAATAAGAATGTTTGTCAAAACTTATTTGCCATTGCCCAGTGAACAAGAAGTAAATAATTCATTCAGTTTACTCTTTAAGTTTAGTTATGAAGCCTCAGATAGAGTCCCTATACTTAATCCTGTTATCAGATTTGGTTCTCCATTATTCAAACATCAAAAATATGTTTTGAGTCAATACTTAGCAAAACATAACAAATACTTCATTGTTCGAGATTACTATCTTTCACTGTAGAAAACAATCTGAAGAGAGTTTTCATCCAGGGAGTTTCAGCTTTAGAGCCCCATAAAGGTATTGGTAGCTTTCGTATGCCTAGTTGTTATTTAATTATAAGTGAAAAGAATTTATAAACAAAATCAACTAAAGAGAGAATATAGCAAGCTTCTCCAATATCCTTGTAAGAAAGAGCTACTAGTCATTTTTTAAAATAGGGTGAGACCAAATTTTGAGTAGACTTGCTTAAAGATACTCTACAGTTGCCAGCTTATATTGCTTAGCAAACCAGAGAGGGTACCATGGTTGTAACAGATTGCTTGGCTTGCAGACCCACCAGAAGACGTGTTGATTAGGAACTATGCTGTATGGAGTAGTGGCTGCCTCTGCTAGGCTAAATTTGAAACTCTGACTGGAATCATTTTGCTCCTTAGTACATTAGACCATGGTTGATGCAACAGGGGACATGCCCCACCTGCAGACTCCATATTTTGATACCAGAAGAATTCCCTGGCCACCCCAACGGGTAGTTACCCAAGATCTGATACAAGGCAGGTAGCTATACCTAAGATGAGTTTTAGACATTGCAATTTAGTTTGGCCTTTAATGAGCTAATTGTTTGAACAGTATTATGTAGCAGTATGCCCTTTGGTGTCATGCAAATAGACCAGCTAATCACACCAGGGCTGAGCCAGGATCAAGACAGATCTAAAGCACGTGTCAGTTCAATGGAAGGGACTTAAAGAAGGTGGGATTTGATAGTTGCATTTTACTGCTCTTCATAACATTTTCCATGTTTAAACACAAGACCTATAAAGATAACAGTGTATTTCTTAGAATGTCCTATCTTTTTCGTTCTTACTCTCTTTACTTTCTCTCAAGTATGGTACATTTTAATTTCCTGAAATTTAGGAGAAAAGGTAGGAAAATTCTATAGATTTTAATTTTCTTTTTAACTTTGAAATTTTGGTGTTAAAATGTAACTATTAAAAGTTATAAATTCTATCTTAGCTTTTCTATCTTCTGAAATAGCTACGCTTGATGAGATTATGGACTCCTTGACTGGTGACCATACAGTGGTTTATAATAGCCTGTGACAAATGATTGTTTCAGACATTGCAGAACCAATGTGTTAAATTGTTGGTGCCATGAAATCTCCACAATAATTATACTATAGAAACTACAACTAAGATTTGTATTTCCCTCAAGAGCTAGTTCTTAAAATCACACCGCAAGACACCTATGTTCCCAATAGTTAGCACCATAAGTATGAAATGAAGTTAGAATTAGAAATCAGGGGTAGTAAAGGAGGCAGATATGCAAAGGGAGTCATTTGCTGAGATGACTAATTGAGATCTTACAGTACTTTGTAAACATATTCCTTGGCTCTTAATCATTTGCATTTGGGGGATTTCTTTTCCTGCTTTAAAGATGTCTGCTGTCATGTAATTGTTCTGGGGAAGAGTGGAAGCCATTTATATGTACTTGCTGCTGCTTGTGACAAAGTTGACACTCACTAGACCATTTGCCTGTCTAAAGCTTGCCACCGAGAGAGAGTTCCAATTCTTAGACAACAAAGCCTCTTTTAAAAATAGCGTAAATGCTGTAAGTGGTGTACATGCCTGTACTTTCAAACTTAAAGAAAATCCATAGTTACCTTGGGAGACATCTATCCTTGGTTCATATTCACAGTCTCAATTTCATTAATTTTGGGAGGAAAAGTTGCTTTGACTCAGCAACTATTTTCTTGTGTATATTTCAGTGTAAATGTATTTTGAAGTTACTGTGAATCTATTTAATAATTCTGTGCCTGCAATTGTATGCTAAACTTCTTTTTCTATTTTGAAAATAAACTGAAAAATGTGACGAAAAATATTTTTAAAATGTCAACATTTGAATGGGTGAGATGATCCAGCAGGTGAAGGTGCTTGTTGCCAAGCCTGATGACCTGAGTTCTGTTCCTGGGACGCGCATGGTGAAAGGAAGAACTGCCAGTCCTGCAAATGGTCCTCTGACCTCCACATGCGCAGTGTGGCTTGTGTGTGCACACAGACACAGTACATTCAGATGCACAAAAAATGAAGGGAGGGAGGAAGGAAAAGTATTCTTAAGTATGTCATTCGTTTATATATAAAATAGCATTGTGGTAGATTTGCAGAATCTAGAACTTATGGGACATTTCAGTCATCATCTTATCACAGTTATGTAGCAAATTACCTTGTAAGACAGTTCGTGCTTACAATTTGTTTCTTAGTTCATGTTTATAATTGTAATTTCATTTTTATGTGGAAAATAAAAGTATTTCTGAATTGAACAACTATTTTTCTATGTGTTCTTTTTAAATGTATCCAAAAATACTTTGTCTATTTCAAATGTCTATTTCTGTTGAGTTGTACTTGAATTTTTATTCTGTTTTGAGGAAATAATGTGAAAATATCTAAGTTGTTAGTCATCTCAGCTTGTGAAATGCCAAGGATGTCTTGGAGTCTTAAAATGCAGAAGCTTTGAGAGTCAGTGCTTTTCTAATCTGTCTCTGTTTTGTAGGTGTTTCTTGTCCAAAGTCATGTGGCTGGGTAGGAGGTAAACCTCTGGATACTGATGGCTCCTGATGTATTGCCACGTGGCTCCTTTTCTGGTTCATGTGCTAGAGTATAGTATAGTAGTGGCAAGTGTTTGTTGAAAATTCTGATGCCCTGGGATCCCCATGGTGAAAGGAAAGAACTACTAATCCTACAAATTATCCTCTGACCTCCACATGTACAGTGTGGCTTGTGTGTGCACTAGTCATTCTTGACTTCAAGTAAGGAGCCAGAACATGTAACACAATCACTGCTCTGTGGGGAGAATGTAGAAGTAGAGTACCCCACAAAATCATGTCTATGTCTCCAGATGCTGCAGATAATGGAACTATAAAATTGGTGATACACCAATTGTTTTTGCTGCCATGCTTTCTTCTGAGGAATTATTTTACCATGTTTAGAAAATCAACTAATCAGAAAGTTCCTAGCATGGCAGTATTTGTATCAAAAATATTTGGGGGGCTCAGTGAGTAAGAGTGCTTTGTGCCCAAGTATGCGGACCTGAGTTCAAATCATGACACCCTCATATAAAAAATCTGGGCATGCCTTTCCATACTCTAACCTGGGAACATGCTGGCCAGATAGCCTACTAGTGAGAGATTCTATCTCAAGGGAATTAAGGTAGCGAGAACATGAGACCTAGAGCCTTCTGGCCTCTGCACATGTGCACAGGCGTGCACACCTCTGTATGCACACACCATTTTTAAAACAATAAAATACCTGAAAGCATCCAGTAATGTATTACAGCTCCTCCTGGAGGATATGCCTTGTGATGTTTGCCTTTCTGTTTATTTTTCATGTATGTGACATTTCACAGCGTTTATAGGGTACCTTCAGATATCTTTGGTACTTTAATCTACTAATGACAAGTATATGTTACTATGATTTCTCTACAGATGATGAATCTCAAGACTCAGATAAGGGCAAAACAATGTATTCAAAGTGACAATTACAAACACTGTAAAGTAGCATTCTGGGGCTGTAATACAGATCTTCTGTTCCCTAGCTGGTGTTCCTGCTAGTGTTGACATCTGCATCCATTTTTGGATTTATTTCATACATGACAAAAGTAGCACTTACTACTTCTTAAATAATTCTCTTTAAATTAAACAAGGTAAGCACAGTAAGCCAACTATTTTCTACTAGGGCTATAGTGTTGAGTATATAAAATACAGAGGCACGGTAGGGACATGACATGGTGGAAAGGGTTTGACTTTTCCCTGTGGTTTGTTTAGGGTGGTTCCAGTTCATGCAAATTATCTTGACTACTTTTTTTCATTCTTTAATCTTTCCCAGCTTAAAAAAGTGAATCTAGCTCTGTGGTTCAAGAGTACAGGTTTGGTTTTTATATTAGTCAAGAATGCCCTACATTTGTAAGATATTCCTAAATAAGTATTAACCTTTCAGATAAGGATTCTATAATTGGAGCAGCTTAGTACTGCTTTTGGTTTATAGCCAAATTAAAAACAATAAATGAGCATGATTTTCTTGACTAGGTAGTCTTCAGTTACTAGCTATGTAGACTAGAAGGTCCTAGTCCACAGGTCCTAGACAGCCATCATGGTAATGTATTTATATGAAGGCATATTCCGAGCAGCCATCTGGGAATCTGTCTCGGCAGTGAACATTTAGATGTTCTAGTGTAGATTAAATTTTGGAAGCTAAAAGATGTAATAGTGTAGCTAAAGTTTTCCTGCCTGGCCCACAGTCAGGACAAATCTCTCTCTCCTGCCAGTCCCATAGCCGCTCAGACCCGACCAAGTAAACACAGAGACTTATATTGCTTACAAACTGTATGGCCGTGGCAGGCTTCTTGCTAACTGTTCTTACAGCTTAAATTAATCCATTTCCATTAATCTATACCTTGCCACATGGCTCGTGGCTTACCGGCATCTTCACATGCTGTTTGTCATCGTGGCGGCTGGCAGTGTCTCTCTGACTCAGCCTTCCACTTCCCAGCTTTATTCTCCTCCTTGTCCCGCCTACACTTCCTGCCTAGCCAATGGCCAATCAGTGTTTTATTTATTGACTAATCAGCAACACATGTGCTATACAGAACATCCCACAGCATAATAGAGTTTGATTTTCTTGGGTAAGTTTATTTTATGTATATGTGTGTACACATGTGCACCATCTGAGTGCCTCTGGGTGTCAGAGAAGGGTGTCAGATCCTGTGGAACTGGATTTACAGGTGATTGTAGGTACAATGAATGGAACCTGGGTCTTCTACAAAAACAATAAGTATTTGTTTAGCTCACAGTTTGGGAAATTCAAAGGTATGGCACCTGCATTGCTTTATTTCTGGTGAGGATGCTAGATGGTGGCATGTCCTGGGAGAGGGGAAGAGGTAAATAGGGAGTGTAGGAAAGGAAGGATGAAGGAGAGAAACTGGAGGGGAAGAGGAAGATGGAGAAAGAAAGAGGAGAGAGGATCCTATAATCTGCTTTGGGATCCTATCATCCAAAAAACCTTCATCAGTTCATGAGCTCCAACACTTGATACCATAGCCCTAGCACTGACATCAGAGAATATAATAGGACTCACTTCTTTCTGTGGCTGATTGAAGTCCCTTTTCTCACTGTACAGATTCCCATCATTATGCTATGGAGACTCCAGCAGAGGCTTCAAGTTTAAAGGCTTAATGAAATTCTAAGCTAGTTGGTCTCAAGCCTGGCTACATATTTGTTGTTTGTAGATGGCAAAGTCTCCAACAGGCTCCTTTGTTGAAAACTTGGTGCATAATTGGTGGTTATATTTAGGAAGGTTGTAGTAGTGTTTGGGGGCTAGCTAGAGGAAGTCATTGTGAGCATGTCCTAGGGACCTTTTTTTTTTTTTTTTATGGACACTTTCAGTCTTCTATCCACTAGGAAGTTAATAACATCTGCCACATGTTCACACTGCATCGTGGACTCAGGGCATGGAGGGAAGGACTATAGACTGAAACATCTAAAACTAACCATGAGGGCCAAATTAAAGAATTCCTTCCTTTAATCAAGTATTTTGTCATAGTGACAAAGGTCCCACTAACACATTGGAGTCACAAGAGGAGATTGGAGCAAACATTCCAACAGCAAAGATCCCCTTTGCTTGGGTTCTATTTAATTAATGTTACAGCTGAGGCATTAAGGTATTTCAGAGATCCCAAAGAGATGCTAATACAGAGCCAAGCCCATGAGAAAAACTAATATTGCTGGAACTGTATCGAATCACTGGGCATCTTGTTAAAATTTGAACTCTGATTCAGTACTTAGGTGAGAGCTAAGATTCTGAATTTCTAATGAATTCCTAATGGTAATGCTGTTGGTTCTGGGATGATACTTTTAGTAGAAAAACTAAACCATGGGGAACATCAGCATTGCCCAGGATTCTTTGTAAAGCTAAAGATTCCCAGGACCTACCTATGAGATGGATTTCCCCAACTCCTGTACTCCTTCAGTAGGCCCGCCAGATGAATGGTATCAACACTTAAAACCAGATCTCTAGTCTGATGTTTTACATGTGAGGACACCGTATCCAATAGGCAATGTGACATCTATCTTTTTATGGCTTTCCTCTGGGAAAGTTCATTAGCTGGTGAAGCATTTCCAACAGGAACATTTGCTGGTATGTAGTCTCCTTTGCAGATTGGGGACTGCAATCTACATTTTGAGTCGACTGTGACGATTTCATTAACACACAGCTCAGAACCTAGTGTGGAGCAGCCTGTTTGATGAATGGGGTCCCAGGTTCTTCTTGAAGCACCATCACATCGTATATCAGTTTTATGTCAAATGAACTGATGGTTTTATGGCCTTTTCTTTCCATTCGATAGGCCCCTTGTCATGGGTTCTTTGTAATATGGCTAGAGGGCATTTTTTGGTGGTGATGACACAGTGATTTACAAAACCCACATTATGCATCAGCCACATATATGTAAATCAGAAACATTTCTTTCTGGGAGAAATTGTCTTTGCTATTCTGTGATAAATAGGTGCATATTCAGTATGCAGGCATTCATCATGACAGATTTGAATTCTCGTTTCTGTATACCATATGACCAAGCAATTAGCATCATATCAGGGGAAAGTACTCTACAGCAGGATCCTTCCAAATGTAAGACTGCAGCATTCAATTTTAGAGCCCCCACGACTCTCATGCTGAAGCATAGTTGCTGGACATAGCTCAGCATCAACCTAAATGGTGGAAGGCAAAGAGATGCTTAAAGAGAGCATTACAGACAATGAAGAAATGGGAGTACCTTTTCACCTATATTCCAGAATTGCTATATAACTATTACCTGTCTTATTTAGACCTCCAAACATTCTGAAAGGTGGAAATTGCTGTCCAACAAAGAAATGAACCTAAAGGGAACTTATCCAAGAGCTGAACCTAACTAGGTCAGTCTAACTCTAAAACCCATGATATCTGCTATACTACTGCATCACAAAATACCTTCAGGTCAGTATTTGAACTATTCTCTGAATAGCAGCTTTGCAGAGACAAGACTACAATGCTTAGCAATTGCACATGCCATCTGCATCCTGGGCCCAGCCTTGAATCTGTAGAGGTAGTATCAGAAGTATTCATGCTGAGTGGAGTGGCTTAGCTCTTTAATGACAGCTGCTTGGGAGACTGAGACGAGAAGACCACATACTCAAGGTCTGCCTGAGCTACAGATTGAGTTGAAGGACAGCCAGGGCAATTTAGATTGTCTCAAAGTAAAACTTAGAAGGAGGTTGATGATAGAGCTCGGTTGTAA